AAAACCCCAAGCGGGTCGCCCGTCTGAAGGCACAGGCCCAACAGGAGGTGCAGCGACAGGTCCGCCTGTGTGAGAGACGCCAGGAGAAGCACCAGCTGGAGATGACCAAGCAGTTCAAGAAAGGATCCCTCCAGTTGAGTCACAACTCCACCACCAGGACAAAAGTCTCTCAGTTCTTCGCCAGCGGCTCCCTCAGTGACGTCCCCAAGCAGTTGAAGGACACCTTCAAACTGAGGAACAGAAAGAAAGAGGAGAACAGCACCGCCAGGAGCGGTGGAGCCGAGGAGGAGGGCGTCGCTGGAGAAACAGCCATGATGGGTTCACCTTGTGAGAAGGATCTAGAAGACCTGATGTGTGGCTTTCAAAAGAAAATTGGCTTTTCTGAAGATGGGGAGGAGTCAGGACACAGGTCTATTTTCAACCGCCCGGGTCTTGGCAACCTCGTCTTTAGAAGCCAGAAGACGGAGACCTTGCTTCCCGAGAAAGAGGACCGGGCCTTTCAAATTCCGGAGCTCTTTCAACTCAAGGAGGCCCTTGGTGATTCAGACAATGAGGATGACCCTGAAGTTTCCTGGATGGAAGAAGCCGTTGGGTGGGATGAGGACAAAGAAGAAGCTCCTCCCCTTGAAGTGTTCCTGGTCGCCCATCATCTCCACGAATTTCTCCCCATCCTGATGAGCGAAAACATCGATTTGGAAAGCCTGATGCTTTGTTCCGACGAAGATCTGCAGAGCATCCAGATGCAGCTAGGCCCCCGCAAGAAAGTTCTCCAGGCAATCAGCAAAAGGAAGCTAGCTTTGGAAAAGCCAGGCCTAGTCAAGGATACCCAATTATAAACCGAGAATGCCGGTGCTTCCGGTCAATGGTTTGGCACCCCACTCCACAAACAGTTCCTCTTTCTTTATATAGGTTGAGGAGGATGACAGGGAGCCAGAGATGACCACTGTGCAAATCTCACAACCTCTGAGCTTCAACACTGCCAAGTAGCCATTGATTCAGGAGAGCAGGATGAAGAGGCCTCGAGTTTAAACACTGTAGCAGGAGAAGTGGCAGAACTTAGGGGTGGAGTTAAAAGAGGCATCAGCCTAGAATCCATACATAGTCACAAGGGAACGAAGCCCAGAATCTCCCTTGAGTACCGTTGACACTTTGTATTGAACAACAAAAATGAATGCTTGGGAACTGTAATGTTCTGAAATGTTAACTTTATTGTTGTTACCAACTACAGTATAGGAAATACAATCGACACCCATTTTGCATCAATATTGATTGACCCCAACATTTTTTTCTATTTTTATTTTTTTTTAAAGGCAGAAGTTTCTTAAAACCACTTTGAAAACCCGTTCTAGCCAATTACTTTCCTACGGTTCTTGATTGTCTATTTGCCAGTAATAAAAAGAAAGGCAAAGTGTATGCCATTAAATGCAAAATGTATGTGAAAATCGTTACATGTTAAGCAGAAATCAGATTGTAGAATCTTATATTCTAAAATTATTATTTCAGGTTTCAGAGAGAAAATCTGAGACCAAGGTCATCGACAGGCTCCCAAATAGGTAAAATTTTAGTTTTGGAATCTCTGAACATATAAAAATAAAACTAGAGCTAACACAGTGAACGATTTAGTGGAACTAACAATGTAGCCTTCGAGAGATGAGACAGTCTACGTTTATCCTTAGGATGCTGTAAACTTTGAGTTAAAGTCACTATCCAAATACATGGAAAGAAGATTGATTCACATTAGAATAATTAGATAAAGCAGTGATTTCTCAAGATCAGCGACTTTAAGAAAGGTGGATGTCAACTCCCAGAATTCCCCAGCCAGCATGCTGTAAGATATGTGGACTTCAACTCCCAGAATTCTCTAGCCAGCACTTCAGCTCCCAGAATTCCCCAGCCAGCATGTTTTAAGATGAGTGGACTTCGATTCCCAGAATTCTGCAGCCAGCATGCTGTAAGATATATGGACTTCAACTCCCAGAATTCCAGGCAGGCTGGGGAATTCTGGGAGTTGAAGTCCACACATCTGGAAGTCGCCCAGCTTGAGAAACGCCAAGAAAAATAATTTCTTTTGTTACATTACTATTTATCTCGCTATTGTAACATAGTAAGACAGCTTATTGTGCAATCTTAGCCGTTTTCGTTCAGACGTGATCTTCCTTTTATTATTCTATGGCCTGATCAGAAGGTTGCGCCCTCATCCACTGGCTGACCAAGATTCAAAGACCAGTTTTGCAGTCACGGTGTCTTCAATGGCCATTCCTGAAAAAGATTAAAAAAATCACAGACAATGGGGGGAGGAAAACCATCAACCATCCTAGTTTGGCAGATGAGGATTAGAGTAATCATTTCAGTCCTGTTCTCTGAGGCTGCTAAACGGAAGCCTTTTCTACAGCCCTCATCTTGTACCCAGCATTCAGGAAAAATACAAGCAACCAAAACATCCAGGTTTTGAACTAGCTAGAAGTTGGTTTGTGTCAGGAATGGAGACATTCCATTGTTTAGGAGTTGCCTCCCTGGCTTTATTATATATATATATATGTTAGCTGATATCTCACTTTATTATTTTTACAAATGACTCTAATATTTCTTCCTCCTCCTCATTTTCCTCACATCAACAACCCCGCGAGGTGAGTGGGGTCAAGAGAGAGCAACTGGCCCCAAACCAAAACTGGCTTTCATGTCAATGGCGGGACTAGAACTCACCATCTCCTGGTGATTGGCCCCAAATCATCCAACCAGCTTTCAAGGCCTAAAGTGGAACTAGATCTTTCAATCTCCTCGTGATTATCTCAGTCACCCAGCTGGCTTTCATTCTTAAGGAGGGACTAGAATTCACCATCTCCTGATGATTGGCTCAAAGTCACCCAGCCAGCTTTCAGGCCTAAAGTGGAACTAGAACTCTCAATATCCTGGTGATTGGCCCAAAGTCACCCAGCTAGCTTTCATGGCTAAGGCGGGACTAGAACTCACCATCTCCTTGTTGATTGGCCCAAAGTCACCCAGCTAGCTTTCATGGCTAAGGCGGGACTAGAACTCACCATCTCCTTGTTGATTGGCCCAAAGTCACCCAGCTGGCTTTTATTTATTTATTAATTTATTTTTATTTATTAATTTAATTTATACCCCGCCCTTCTCCTCATGGGACTCAGGGCGGCTAACAGCCTCATAAAAACTACAATACAAATACAATAATTAAAAGCCGAATTAAAAAGAAATATTTAAACAGGCCGATCATTAAAATTATCCTTAAAAATCCCCTAAAAAACCCCGCTAAAATTCCCTAGGCCAGACCCGCT